CTGTAATAAATTTTGTTATTTCTCCCAATTGAATTTAGGGAGGAAGATATTTTGGTGACCATTCTATATTTTCAAATGATAGGTTAATTTTCTTATGGTGTCATCCATATCATTGCAATCTCCTTACTATGCGCATATTTAGTACGATTTAAAGGGGAAAGCTTCAAGCTTGAACTCCTTAATAATAAAATAGGGAGTTATAAAATGGATTGTTTGTTATATTAACTCAAATTTTTACTTTTCTATTAATCTTTGCATCTTTTCACTAATTGGATATCACCAAATCATACATACCTCAGGTTTAAATGATTGCCCGCTTGAACCCCAATCCAGAGTTTCAATCAGTCTATGTAATTTTAGGCTTTTTATTATATTTTTATGATTTTTATTTGGGGTTTGGAAATGGCCTTTATTAATTTTTCTTTACCCTATCTTTATTAATTATTAAATTTTGTATAATTTTATTTGCTAGAGTAGGTTAGCTGTATGCTAGTGATTTATTCTTTAATTTATTATTTATTATGCATGTCTGACTAATTTGTTTTGGCTGCACGGTAGAATGAATATTAGATTTTTCATTTGAGATAGTTACCATGAAAAAGAAAAAATCTGCTTTTTGGGTGGAGATAGAAACTGGCTTTTGGAGATGATTTATAAACTAGCATTATTCTTGTATGCAGCCAACTTTTTAGCATCTGGGTCAGCTAGGCAGCCCAACTATTGCGCCCAAAGGATTGAATAGCTCATTATTAGATAAACATTTTGGGCCTCAAGGTCCTTCAACCAAATATTCCCGACCTCAGTTCCAAACAAATAATTCTTCGGAGTCTTAGTTCAAAAGAAAAATAATAATAACAATTCTTCAGAGTCTTATGGTTCATTTTTTGGGCCTTGAGCCCATTAGGTAAGTATATGGGCCTTTAGTGCCCATAATAGAAATGATTTTCTCTCGAATCGTTTGTCATCTAGGCCCACGGAGACTCATTAAGACAACATTTTAAATCTCAAGCCCAAGGGCCTAATTGGTTAAGTTATCGGGGCATAGATGGCCATTAACGGAAGTTTTTGAACGATGAGCCCGTATTCCATCTGTTGCGCGGGCTTACAGAGCACATGGTTAACTGGTTCTGTTGGGCCCATTACGATAGAATTTAAACTCCAATTGTCAGGAAATTGGGGCTTATTGGGCCCAAATGGGTGAGTTATTTGGGCCTATCAGCCCATTAAGTGAAGTTACTGAGCCCAATCAGGCCCAATAAATTAAGTCATTTGGCTCATCATATGAAGTTACCTGAGCCCATCAGGCCTGTTAAGTAGCCTCACTTGAGACAAGAATTAGTGGTGTGAGACAAGAAGATCCCGGGGCATTAGTTGAGGATGAAGAGGCAGCTGCTGTCCAAGAGCAAGTCAGACAAATAAAGGCTCAGGAGGAGGAATTTGAGATCTTCAACCTCAAGATTGTGCATAGAAAAAACAGGCATGCCTTATAAATTATTATTAACATCAACTCTAATGTACATCCATCCAACTTTTGCAAATTAGATACTTAACCTATATGTTGTGCATAGGTTAATCATGGAAAGCACGATTTATTCTTGGGGTCTCCTTCATCTCAACATAATATGGTGGAAGGGGGATTGTAATCCTGTTGTACATGATGTGTGATAATTCAATTTTATAGCTATTTTAGTAGCTATACTACAGCTAGTAAAAGAGTTGGATATCCAATTATGGTTGGCTTGTAATGTGAGCTGTGTTGTATGTGTATCAAAGTTTGGAGCAAGGCAGGCACTTTCGTTGTTTCGATTTTGCAGCATGCCACGGTTACGATGGATAAAGCTTTTGCAAAGCTTTTGATTGAAAAAGCTCATGAAATGATAAAATTAAAATTGTGGGTTTTGATTATGTATTACCAAATATTATTAATTTTTTTAACTTTTTATCTATTCAGTTAAAAAACTTAAAACAGTGTACTACCAGCTATTATAAACTTTTTCTTTGCTTAAAATTTGAACTTGCTACCTTTTATGTTTTATCTTTCTAAGAGGAAAATTAGCAATCACACGGTATTAGAAATAAGGCCAAAATTTGAGGTATACAAATCTTATATGTGGGATCAAGGCATCAATAAACTCACTTCATTCCACACTAAAGCCACACCAAGATTCTACCTTATCATGCCCGGTAGTTATTAAATGAAACAAATTATAGAAATTTATTTAAGTTTATTGTATTCAACAGTAATTACATTGAGCTGACCTTTTAAACATATTTTCTAACAGAGATAGAGAATTATAAAGTACAAAGGGAAGATGAAAAGATTATGCATGTCATAAAAAAAAAACACAATTCAATCAAAACAAGAACATTTAGGAAACACTGAGGTCTTAGTCAACAAATCTACAAGTTCTTCTTTGAGGACATGTTCAAGCTTTCTTCACATTCCTTGCTTTTTGATTATGTTGGCCAGCAAACAAAGTCACAAACCATTTTGGTTTTCCAGTTTGGAAGGCAAAATACCCCATTAGTAGTCCAAACACCAATCCGCATCCATACCCTAGCAGCACAACTCTCCAACCAAATTCCCATAACTCATGATCTTTTCCATGGAAGGAGCCTGGTGGTTGTTGCAGCGTCCCATTTCCATCACAAGATTTTGTTAATGGAAATCCGTATAACCTAGGGTTTCCCTCATATGAACTGTTTTCAAAGGTGTTGAATTGATTGCCTTGTGGTATGCATCCGTCGAGTTGATTGTTGGAAAGGTCTAGAACGGCAAGTGATGTTAAAGATACCAACTCTTGCGGAATTTCCCCGACTAGCTCATTGGAAGATAGGTCCAACCATTCGAGATTGGTTAAGTTCCCAAGTGAATGTGGAATAGAACCATTAAGGTTGTTATGAGAAAGATTAAGTCCTTTGAGAGACCTAAGCTTTCCAATAACTTTTGGTATCTCTCCACCAAACTTGTTTTTTGAGAGATCAAAGCTTGAAAATATGGTCAAAACTTTTTCTAGTTCAATGAAAAATCCTTTCATTGTCACCATTACTGAATATTCATATGAAAATCTTCCCCCCATGTATTGTGCGGAGTTGCCATCTTCGTGAGCATTTACCATAGCTTTGAGATTTTCAATGTAGTGCATAGGCAAAGGACCAACAAAATTA